TAGTCCTATTATTCTTTCAACACATAGATACTTATCAGGGGCTTACTATGTGCCAGGCCTAGAGCTAGGCACTAGGTATACAAAACTGGATAAAATGTATTTCATACGATCGAATAGATAAAATGAATTAAACTTATTCTATCTTATGGTAAAAAGAGAAAAATCCCTAATAATTTTGTGGGTTTAGATATTAATTAGGAAAAAATGTTTGTAACAATATGTGGAGAGTCACTGGCACTACGGGATGCATCCCTCCTGGCTCACTGTTAATGAACTGTTTCCAGCTGAGATGCCTGTAATCTGCAGGTGCTGTTTACCATGTAATTTTACCATAGGAAACAAGGGTGTAATCAGTTAATAAAGTGTAAAGAATTAGATTTTTTTTCTCCCTTGAGCAACATGCTAGGCTGTGGCCAACATTCCTGATGCCTCCTCTCTTGAGCAACAGGGAAGCCATATTTGAAGAGAGAAAGTTGTTTCGTTCATATTCTGCAACTTGCCTCTGAAGGCTGTGCTAAGTGAATGCAAAACTCAAGCTAGACTTTTTGTGTGAGTGTCCACTGATTTTTGTCCTAACCATTATACTACACAAAGGTTAATTAGTTTTCCTTCCTTCTCCCTCCTTTATCTAATTTAGACCCAAATAAGGGTACTGTGAAGAGGGATCTGCTTTCAGTTTAAGCAGTGTTTTATGTTGTTTTCTTCCAGTTTTTATTGAGCAAATAGAAACTGTATTCAAAACATTTTTATACATGGGCCCCTTCCAATAAACACTTGATTTATGAGTGTCCTGTACTCGTCGATAGCCTCTCTCAAGGGACTTGAAGTTACTCCTTCTACCCACGGAAACTGGTCTTGTTTCTGCTATCTGCAGGAGTTTGTTTCCCTCAGCCCTGCCCCCTACTCCTCCTCGCCCCACTTCCCTGAACTTGAATTCTCATAAGCTCATATCAGACCCTTTGGAGCAATTAATATGTAAGCACAGTCTCCTACTGCACCATCAGGATACAAGAAGGCTCTGAAAACACTGCCAGAATTCCCATGGGAGGTGAGCCCATGAGGGAACACTATGACTGTATAGGAAATTCATAATTGTAGTTATGTTGTGGGGCGGGGGGTGGTCTTCATTTGGACTTCAAAATTCTTTTCCCCTAGAAATGGTGTTATCCTGAAATAACACACCCATGGATAATTCAGTTACCTGAAAAATTAACTCTACCTCACAGCCAGTACTTGAGCAATAAACAAATGCTCTCTAAGCTCCCAGAGAATGTGCATCTTATTTATTGAAAAAGCCATTCCAAAACTCATTGGCTGCCTTTTTATCCTGTTTGTACATGTTTCTAGTTAGTTTTCATGAAGTGGCAAGCCTATAACATTATAAATAGCAAATTTAAAGAGACCAGATAAGATGTTACAGGTAGGTAAAGTGAAATCTGATAGTTGACAATAAGGTAAGAGACCAAAAAAATAAAAAGAAGCTTAATATTTCAAAAAGAAACCACAACGAAACAGTAGATTACATCCTCAAAAATATTGACAATATCAGCGCAATGAAAATGCAGAGTACTGGGACCTTCATTTGTTGCTGATGGGAGTATAAAATGGTCTAGTTACTCTGGAAAACAGTTTGGCAGTTCCTCACATCAAACCCTTACTAAATAACCAGAAGGTTGCACTCCTTGGTGTTTATCTGAGAAAAATGAAGACATGTGTCCCCAAGGAGACTTGTACATGAGTTCACATATCAGGTCCTTTCATAATAGCCCCAAACTGGAAATAACCCGAATGTCCATCAACAGGTGAATTCACTGAAAAGTTATGATCCATCTCTCCACTAAAATACAACTTGGCAGCCCTGGCTGGCATAGCTCAGTGGATTGAGCGCGGGCTGGGAACCAAAGTGTCCCAGGTTCGATTCCCAGCCAGGGTACATGCCTGGGTTGCAGGCCATAAACCCCAGCAACCGCACATTGATGTTTCTCTCTCTCTCTCTCTCTCTCTCTCTCTCTCTCTCTCTCTCTCTCTCTCTCTCTCTAAAAATAAATAAATAAAATCTTTAAAAAAAATACAACTTGGCAATAAAAAGGAATGAGCTAGTGATACCCACAACAAGATGGATGAGTCTCACAGACATTATGTTGAATGAAAGTAACACACAAAAGTCATACAATCATATTGTATGATTCCATTTATGTTACATTCTAAAATAGGAAAAGCTAAGCTACAGTGATAGAAATCAGGACAGTGGTTGCCTGGGGTGAGGGTCACACTGAAGAATGACTAGAAGATGCACAAAACAAAATTCTTAGGTGAAGGAAATGTCTTGATTTGGATGGTGGTTATAAAAGTATATACATTTTTCACAACTCTTCATAGTCTATGTTTACAATGGGTGCATTTTGTTGAATGGAGATTACAACAAATTTTCACAAAGTACAAAATGGAACAAAGGGAAACAATCTTTCAGAGGCTATATCCTCTGTACAGTAAAAAGTCACCATTTCTTACTGGCTAGATCAGCCCTTAGAATGTCTAACCCTAACCCTAACCCTCATGCTAACATACCTCCTCCAACCCATTACCACTTCTTTTAAATTACTTGTATTTCCACAAGCTGTGAATTTCTCTTTCCTCTGAACCTTTATATGCATTGCTCCTTGTATTTAGAATTCCTTTTTAGTTTCCCATTAGTCACTAAATCAACAATATCCTTTAGGATTCCCAGAGGTAGTGCCTCCGAGAAGCCTTGTCTACTTTCAGTCTGTGTTAGATGCTTTTCCATTTAATCCTAGAGAACCTTCTGTTTCTCTCTAGCAAAGCATGTATTTCTCTTTAATGGAATTATAATTGTTGTGAGAAACCTCAAAACCTTAAATGGACTGGGACCATTTAATGTACAAATAGTCTCTTATATACTCAGTAAACCATGAGTTAAAATCATTTTCCAGATCAATTTCTATCCAAAATTATTGTAGTAAGTTTCAGCCCTCTCGGTTATCAAGAAAACTTCTGTCCAGCATCACTTGTTTTTTTGGAGTTGCAAATGACTGAGATTTCATTGGAAATACAGTTCGGGTTTTTAGTAGTAGTAAAATAGCTTATTTTTGTATGGGTGAAGTAATTTTCTATGGGCTTCATTTGGAAATTTAGTCAGACTTTATTATGTTGATTTTATGGGAAAATGCATTTTACATTCCAATCAAGTGACTCAAAAATACTGTTCAGTTGAACCATGTGAAATTGCTGATATTCAACCTTTTTTGACATACATAAGTGAGTTTCATTTGATTCAACCTAAATGTTTTAAAATTAATCTCATGACAAGTTGGAGATTACCTAAACATTCATTTCTTAACTTTGTATTTCACATATGCATATATTCTGCAAGATGCCAATCCTGTACTTTAAGGCTGTTGGGTATGATTCTTCTATGTAAACAGTAAATCACAGAGTTTTGAAGAAAGTTTGTGTAGAATTTTTGTTTCAATTAATGAGAGATACAACAGACATGAGATTCTGAAATTGTTTATCTTTGCACATTTATACTAGGATGAAAATGCAGATTTATTTCTCCTTTTTTAATCCCCAAGCTACCTAACCAGTCTGTTTGAAAGACTGATTTTGATAATAGTAATAACTAACATTTATTGAGTACATATTACATGCTGGGTACTGTGCTAACCCTTTAACTACTTTATGAGCAAAGTACTCTTTATTGTCCCTATTTACAGAAGACAAAATTAAAACTGAAGTAACTTGCCCAAGATCACACAGCTGTAAATGGCAAAGTCAGGTTAGAATCATTGTCATGTCTACTCTTGTGTCCACTATTTACTGCAAGCATATTTTTTAACAACAAAGAGGCACTCATGCTGAAAGAGTATGACTCATTTCAGGTACTACATATTTAAGTGATGATTATCATTAGTGGATCCAGGCCCATTCACATATGAAACAGATTGTACTATTAGGAGACATCATCATAAGAAAGAAGACTCATGCAGGGGTGTTTGACCTTTTGGCATCTCTGTACCACACTGGAAGAAGAGTTGTCTTGGGCCACCCATTAAATACCATTGCAACACTCAATCACAACTAAATCTCATAATTTTTAATAGACTTTATTTAATTTTGAGAGAGAGGGGAAGGGAAGAGAGAAACATCATTTTAGGGATTCACCATGCCTCCAACTGGGGACCTGGTCCACAACCCAGGCATATGCCCTGACTGGGAATCATACTGGTGACCCTTCCTTTTCCAGGCTGGCACTCAATCCACTGAGCCACACCAGCCAGGGCAAAATCTCATAATGTTTTAAGTAAATTTGTGATTTTGTATTGGGCCAAGTTCACAGCCATGCTGGTTCGCATGCTGGCCTCAAGTTGGACACCTCTGGTAGAGGATGAAGTACCAAAATGAGTCTTATAGACCCAAGTGCTGTAGGAGTTCTATAAGAGTCAAGAGCAAAGAATAAGTGTGGGTTTTTTTCATGTTTAACTACCAGAAGAACATTGACATTAATGGCATCCTCTGGTCATAATTGGATGCACAGCCTTGTGGAACAAATGAAAAGTTTAGTATAAAAAGGAATGTGGAAAAATCGTGGATATATGATAATGATGTCCAAGAGGGAGTTGTGAACTGAAGTCTAATTCTGGGCAGTCCTCAGATGTATAGGAGGGACATTAGATATCCATGACTGTCCTCTCTGAATCCCAGAACTATATGGAGGAATGGGACTTGAAGGATTAGGCATTAGATATTCAGAACAGAAGAGAGGAGATTCACAGCTTACCCAAATTTCATGACTGGAATAATAATGGTAACAAAAATAAAAGGATTTGTATCATAGCAGGGAAGATGGGCCCAGGGTTTAGACATACTGAATTTAAGGCAAAGGTAAACTGTCTACAGAAAACTAGTTTTGTCATTTTTCTGTATCTCAGCTGTGGTTGGCTGGGGTCAAGCTTTTATTCATCTACTTGTTATTTTTACAGATGGCCCTTTTGAATTTTTTCTTCCCTGAAGAAAAGTCATACTCTGAAGCAGAAAGTAGGCGTGTTCGCCGCAATAAAAGAAGCAAAAGCAGTGAAGGAGCAGATGGTAAGTCTCCTTGAGTGATGCTTTATCGTCTGTCAGTTAATGAGAATACCTTCTGAGAACTAACTTCTCGAGTGTGCTCCACCATCTCATATTTTTTCCACAGACTCAAGGTCACAGCAGAAGGCTTTTCCACACTAGCCTACTTATCAGTCATTTGACATAAAGTGGATGGTACAGAATCCTCTCTCCTGCTTCAGTCCTTTCTCAGTATATCCGAGAGCCATGGTAGCATTTGTATCGCTCAAGATTGCTCTGCAAAAGGGCCTCCTCTTTCCTGCAGACATGGTATATCTACTAAGGCTACCAAGAGGATTCAGTACTATTCTTGGAATTAACATAGTGTTGTGCCATGCTGGCACTTGTGTGATATCTTAATTCCAATGATAATCATGTCAATGTTGGTATCTACTACCATGCTCAAATATGAACTTGACCTTCTAGAACTCACAACTTCCTTGAGGATATGAATTTCTCTTTGCATAACTTCAGAATCTAGACTAGTATCTGGCAAATTGTTGGTGTGGGTTTTTTTTTAAATATTTTATTTAGTTATGTTTAGATAGAGGGGAAGAGAAGGAGAAAGAGAGGGAGAGGAACATTAATGTATGGTTGCCTCTCCCATGCCCCCTACTGGGGACCTGGCCTGCAACCCAGGCATGTGCCCTGACTGGGAATCAAAACAGTGACCCTTTATTCATAGGCCCACATTCAACCCACTGAGCTACACCAGCCAGGGCTGTTGGTGTTTATTGTATAAGTTAATGATGTTTGTTCCTTCTTCAGCTAGGTTATGATATACCTTCAAAACAGTCCTTATTCAGAGTAAAATAGACTTAACTAGCAATGCATTTTGTGGGGCCTAACAAAATGTTGAGTGAGCTCCTGGGCCAGGTCTTTGAATCACTGTATTCCAGTGTTACTGTGTCAGTTGACAGGACACTGCCTCTTTGGCATAGATATTAGGAAAAGACATGGCTCTGGGCTGCTGCAGCACCATCTGGATTCAGAGAGAGCATGTGACAGCTACCTCTACCAAAGGTGTATGTCTGGGGTTTACAAAGCACTCGGCCTTTATAAAGATGAAAATGAGTTATTAAAGCTGACCTTTGTCAATGTGAGTAAGGGCCCATGATGTCAGCACTTCCAGGAGGCATGTGCTAGTATAGAAATGGGACCAGGACTTTCTCATTAGAGGCCAGAAGGAGAGAACTGGATGAAGTCTGACAAAGAGCTCAGAACAAGGATGCTGTGATTAAAAAAGAGAAAGGGTCAGAGAAATTACTTAGGTAGGGTGTCCCAGTCAATGGAGGTGGCAACAGCTTGAGCCCTTGAATGGACAACTGGTCTAGTGGGGCTACAGAGGACAATTTGCATACAACAGATGACCAAGTTTCAGCCTAGGAGATGGGGTCTGTGAAGTAAAAGCACCTGTTATTTGCATACTGCTTGCAGCCAGTTTCCAGGAAGTGTTTGGAAGGCTATGTGGAAACTGAGAACTGGGAGTCATTGTCACTTTCCTCTCCCCATTACCTCACCCTTTGGTGCATGTAGGTCTTACCACCATTGACCCTCCCCGTGAGGCTGCTCCCAATACCAAGAAATCTTTCATATTCCCTAACTGCTAAGGAGGAGAGCAGAGTGATGATAAGAGCAATATGGCAAAGACTTCCCTTCCTCCCCAAGTAGAAAGTCTAGAAGTTTCTAAAGTTTCCTCTTTAAAAAAGAGGAAAAGTTCCAACTTTGGAGAAGTTGGACTCCCAACTTTTCTCTTCCACTTTCCTATACCATTTTATCTTTATGTGGCTACCACCATCTCTGCTACTGATCTTTCATGCAGTGTTTATTCTGTTTTGGTACAAAATAGCATGTCTCTGGTGAAGTCCAAAGCCTCTGGCACTAGTTTTCAGCACTTCTTAGCTAATTTCTTCACAATCTGATGGTGTAGTCACTCAACTGTACTCAATCTGTGCCAGTCACAGATGTTTTTTTGTCACACTGGGAGGAATCCAAGAGCCACTTAGAGAGTTAGGAGTATGGAATGTCTATGAGTCCTGGCATTTGATTACATTTCCAGCTGTCCACCTGGTATCCTATCCAACCATTTCTTTCTCTTTTTTTTAAACATTATTGATAGAATTTCTTTTTTATTCAAGATATATTTTATTTATTTTTAGAGAGGGGGAAGGATGGGAGAAACAGGGAGAGAAACATCAGTGTGTGGTTGCAAGAGAAACATCAGTGTGTGGTTGCCTCTCACATACCAACCAGGGACCTGGTCTGCAACCCAGGCATGTGCCCTCACTGGGTATCGAACCAGTGACCCTTTGGTGCACAGGCCGGCACTCAGTCCTCAGAGCCACACCAGCCAGGGCTCACCATTTCTTTAGATGCGGATTCTCCAATGAGTTAAAAGAGTGACAAGCTTCATAAGCTAATCCAAGTCTACTTTACTTTTGAACCATTTCTGTTACCCTGCTAAGTGAGTGTATGCTGTATTTATTCGATGCACTTATCAAATATTTACTGGGGAAATACTTTTATAATACTAGAATGGAAATGCTGTAAGGACATTGTCATGTGTCTGTTGTGTTTACTTTTATCTCCCCATTGCCTTGAAAAGGACCCAACACATGGGAAACCCTCAATAAATAGTTCTTATTATCTTCAAAAAGCTTAAGTTCCAGTATAAAGAGGCAAGCAATGAGATAAATTGGCTGTAAGTGTTGTGGAGAAAAAGATAGCAGGGCAAGAGGGAGAGAAAATGGTGGGGTGTGTGATAATGTGGTCACAGAAGGTCCCTGTAATCAGGGACCAATTAAGAGGAAACCAGAATGAAATGAAGGTGTGAGCCATGCAAACAGTTGGGGGTGCGTGGGCATAGGAGGAGATAAGAAACAGTAAATGTAAGTGTTCTGAAGCAGAAGAATGCTTGGCATATTCTAGAAAGATCAGTATTCCTGGAAGCAGAGTGAACAAGAGGAAGAGGGAAGGAGATGATATCAGAGAGCAAAGTTCAATCTAGAAGCGTGTAGGGCAAGATAAGGACTCCAACTTTTACTCTGCCTGAGAAGAGCAACCATTGGAAGATTTTGAGCAGGGCGGTGACCCAATTTGACTTATGTTTTAACCAAATCCCTCTGGCTGCTGTATTCAAAACAGCTGCAGGGAGAAGGACAAAAGCCAGGAAGACCTGTTCAGGGAGTGTATGGAAAATTTAGTCAAGAGCCCTGACTCGTGTGGTTCAGTGGATTGAGTGCATACCTGTGAACCAAAGGGTCTCTGGTTTGATTCCCAGTGAGGGCACATGCCTGGGTTGTGGGTCAGGTCCCCAGTAGGGGCCATGTGTGAGGCAACCACACATTGATGTTTCTCTTACTTTCTTTCCCCCTCCCTTTCCCCTCTCTCTAAAAAATAAATAAATAAAATTGAAACAAGATAATGATGCTGCATTAGACCAGGATGGAGCCACAGGGATGATAAGTGGTAAGATTTGGGAGAGATTTTCAAGGAATAGCTGACAGGGTTTTTGGTTTCATTAGATGAGGGTTATGAGTGACAGAGAAAAGCCAAGGAGAATCCCCAAGTTTGGGACATAAGAGTATTACCATTTCTGAGGTGAACAAACAGGGTAAAGGGATGTAGAGAAGGAATCAAGAACTCAGGTGTGCCAAGTTTGAGGGGCCTGTTGGACAAGCATGTGTGTATGTTAAAGAGTCAGCCAGATGTGTAAGTCTACACTGCATATCATTATGTCTGAAGACAATGAGTTGATTCTGTTTTCCAAAAGTAAAGAACTTCTCATTGAGGAAGTGACTCAATTTATAAACCATGTGAACAGAGGAAGAGGAGGATGGGAGATAGAAATCAGAGTGGAGTGAATTAAGGCCAAAAAGAAAAACAATCCTGTGTTGATTCTAAAGGTACAAGTTACTTGATATACTGTAACAGAAATGTAGCTAACCAGCTCAGATTTACTTCATAAGTATCAAAGAAAAAGAAATTTACCTTGAACATTTAAGAATATGACAGAGATTTCAGGAAGAAAACATCCTTCTAAGGTCAAAAATGGACATAAGTTTAAAAAGAGAGCAGGAAAAATCCATTCTGCCTCCTTGTATAATTTTTTGATCCTTTACTATTCTTTAATTTCACTTCAGTTCTGAAAAAAATTTTTTTGGTTATATAACAAAGCCTTCGCGGCACACTGGAAGAAGTGTAAAGATGAGTAAGTACCTCAGAGAAGCTAAATGAAGGGGCACATATATTTATAGGCAACAGGTAAAAATGAAGCAAAGGCAACAGTACATACAAGGCAATCAAACATTTGGTACATGAATGAACAGACAAATGTGGGGTGGAGCTCTAGATTTTTTTATGTAGGAACTATAGATAATAATTTTGATGATCTTCACTAATCCATGTGGGAGACAACTTTTTTACAAAATGGTTCATTCACACTGAGGAAATGCAAGGGATGTTGTAGTGATCCTTAGGAGCATGCATATTTATTTCAGAGGGAGGGGAAGGGAGGGAAAGAAACACCATGGATTGCCCCTCACACACCTCCATCTTGGGACCTGGCCTGCAACCCAGGCATATGCCCTGACTGAGAATTGAACCATCAAACTTTTGGATCACATGCTGGTGCTCAAACCACTGAGCCACACCAGCCAGGACTATATCCAATCCTTCTGACTCACTTATTCAAGAAAGGGTTTCTTCATTTGGATTATCCTATAAATGAAGGCATTGACTAGGAAGCTGGCATTCCAAACACAGGGGTAGTTCCCCTCCAATATAAATCTTGGTACTTTATAACTTTCAACTCTTACAAAATAAATGAAGTGTTTTTCTTTACTATATCTTTGCCTTAAATTCACTGTTCCTGTTTTGAGTTGTCCAAAAGTGCTGAATACAGGTTTTACGTTCATTTTTGCCAATTATATGCTAATTATATCATTCTGCAAGGAAAGCATGATCCCTCCATTGTAAGTACTGTG